TGAAGACGTCCCTAATATGTCCACAAACGACATTTGCAACGTCTTTAAGACGTCTGCTTCAAAGCCATATGAATGTATGTTACAAAACCTAACATCTTTCAGGCGTCTGTCTAAAAACGTCTTCATAACTCATATTTCACTATTATTATTCATTGTATAATATTCAATTTTTGTCTATTCCAGGCGCTAGACTCTGAAATAATTTTGAAGTTTTTAAACTGTTCTGAAACCTTTCAAAATACTGCAGAAATATGTTTCAGAATGTTCCAAATGGCTTATTGAAGTTCTAAAGTGTTCTGATTTGGCTTGAAAAGTTCTGGAGCATTTTAGAAGTTTTTCAGTAATTTCTAAATTATTCTGACAAATTTTTGAGTATTTTAGAGCCCTATTGAAGCTACAAAGTATTCTAAGTTCTAAAGGGTCTCCAGTTCTAAATTGAATCTTAAATTGTTCTCAGATAACTCTGAAGTTTCTATATTGTTCCAAAATGCTTCTGAAAATTCTGATTTGGACTTGAACTGCTTATTAAAAGTCTAAAGTTCTACAACAATCTAAATTTGCTCTTAAAAACCTTATGAAAGGCGTTTTGTAACTTTCAACCTGAATCCTAAAATTCTGGCGCTTTTCAAAATATTTTTGGAGATTTTATAGTGTTTTGGAGCGTTTAAAATGGGTTTCAAACTTCTGAATTGTTCTAAAATACTTTTGGAATTTGTAATTTTGTTTTTGAATGTTTTAGAGCACTCTAAAAGGTTCCGAAGTTCTCAAATTGTTCTAAAGCATTACAGAATGCTTTTGGAAATTCTAAAAATAGAATTTTAAGTGTTTTAAACTTTCCGAAAGACTTATTGAAGTTCTAAAGTGCATGGGTGTGGGTAGTTTTTGTAAACATCTTAAAAACATTCCTAAGATGAATTTATTACATCTTACGGACGCCTTCTAGACGTCTTTTTATGGTCTTCAGACCAGATCTTCAGACGCCATACAGACCTAAAAAAGACTTTTGTGGGAAGTTTCAGATCTAAATTCTCAAAAAATGGATGTTTCATGTTCGAGAAAAGGAAAAGCATACGAGTTTTCCTTCTATTGTATGAATATAGAACTATTATGGCCAGAAAAATGCTTAGATACAATAATAATTGAAAGTGACTTTACTAACAGCCAATATGACTAAATAATTAATTCAAAACATGATGTTTACTCTACCTCCAGTTATAATAATTATTATAATTGACAATAAGGAATAAATAATTAATTCTAAAATAGAGCCTTTTTATAGAGAATATCCCACCGCTGCTCCAAATTGAAAAAAAAAGCGCACGCCTGTTCCTTTTCCTTTCGTTCTAGGACGCCGTAACGCACCAGAGTCGCGCGTCCGGGTTCTTCTGGTTTTTCCTTTTTTTCCTATTTTCCCCTACCTCCCTCTTTCAGAAAATTTTCTCCCCACTCTGTGTGGAGCCCCGGAGACTTTGCCGTCCAATCAAATTTTTTATAATGAACTTTTTTTAATGATCGTGGGGAGGCACAGGATAGAGAAACTGCGGGCAAATATAGAGCTCTAGGTTTTATGCGTGACGTACGACGGAGCGGATTTTTGCTTTGGGGATTAATAAAAATGGGATTTTTGTCGTTCCCCTTTTTGTACTTTCGTCCCAGAGTTTAATGGATTCATCTCTGTAGAATGAAATATTTATAATTGAATTAACGAAAACAAAGTTGTCGCTCCGGATGACAAATAATCACATTATTATTCAACCGGTCAGTGGCGGATCCAGGATTTTCTTCAGGGGGGGGGGCGCAGGCTAAGAATTATCAACAATGATTTTTTGAAAATTTATTTTTACTTTACTTATACGCTGAAGAATGTAGATTGTAGATACAGGGTGGTCCAATTTGGTCACTTTTGATTTGAAACGTCAATTTTTGAGCCAGATACATAAAAATGAATTAATTCTCCAGTCTGCTGAAGCTCAAAGGACCACGCACAGATCTTATGAGAAAAAAAAAATTTCACGATTGTCATGAAATTGAAATATGTTATGCTTATCGACCTCCTGAACGTAAGTTCTCGTAGGCCCAAAAAGATCATGATAAGTTTCGGAGATACAGGACCGATAAAAAAAAGTAGAACAAGAAAAATCTCCAGAATTTGCTAGTACGTGGCTGGTACATTAATTTAATTCATAACCAAAAATGACACATTTTTCGACAAGTTTTCAACTTACAAAGCTTCAGATGACATTACTTTGGCATTTTTCCGCCCGTATTTAACTTAGAATATGTCATTGCCTGAATTCAACATATTTTGAAATGAACTTCGTTGACCAGTCAGAAACAACTACTCCGAGGGCAAATACCCCTACCGGCGTTGAACTACACTGATTGGTCTGAGCTTTCGTTGGCAATGGAAATTGTTGAAAGATTTTTTTTCAGGTATGACCAACGTGAATACACCGTAGTGTCCCTGTATTCACGTTGGTCATACCTGAAAAAAAATCTTTCAACAATATTTTGAAATGTTTATTTTTTGTCAAAATTTTGTATGTTAACCCGGCTCTGTATCTCCAAAACTAATCATAAGATCTATTTGGGCCTACGAGAACTTACATTCAGGAGGTGAAAAGCATAACATTATAACATATTTCAATTTCATGACAATCGTGAAATTTATTTTCTCTCATAAGATCCGTGCGTGGTCCTTTAATGATATCTTGATTGGTGCAAACACTGCAAACCGCCCTTTGATACCCTCAACCGTTTTGCCGCTAGAGGGTGTTTCTCGATTTTGAGCGATAAGGTGAAACCTTCCTAACTTTTTTATTTATGAAAATAATTGATTTCTGTATAAACTTTCCGGAGGAACATTTCCAAGCAGAATTCAATGACGTACTTTTTATATCTATCTTATTTGTTTAATAAAAAAACCTATACAGGGTGGGGCACGAAAAACTTCCCACCCATAGGTTCTCAAGTGTTAGGTGTTTAATCAAAAATCGCTTAGACACGTCAATTTTTGTTTTTTGGGGGACACATTTTATTGGTATTTTCATCCCCTACCTGTCAACCCCTAAGTTGGGGTAACAGGTAGGTACCCCCAAAATTTCAAATGAAAAAAGAATTCGAGTGATATGTCATTTGGTAGGCATTTTCATTAAGAATATATCCCTGAAGTTTTAAGTTGTTACTATTTACCCTGCCGAAATGGCGGCATACCAAAGTTAGGAAAGATTTCGAGGGATTATTCACTGTAACAAGATTTCGGATTTAGAGCGATTTTGAGGGATTTCGGTTGATTTCGAAGGATTTCGGATGATTTCGAAGGATGATTTTGGAGAATCTCAGGTGATTTCACAAATATTTCAATTTGATTTCAGATTGTTACTTATCTCATAAGTATATTCGAAAGTGTATAAACTGAAAAACGGCCGAAAACGAATTTTGGGCCAGTTGTGAGGGATTTTTGGGTATGCGGGATGATTTCTAAGAGATTTCGGAGTGATTTCGTGGATTTCGGAAGGATTTCGGAGATTTCCGTAGGATTTCGGAAAGATTTCGGGGATTTCGGACGAATTTGTGACACGATTTCGGGGAGTGATTAACCCCTCGGGAAAACTCGAACAAAAAAGATAAACCTATCAAACTTTATATCATTGAAATATTGAAAGCAGCAAAAGCAGAGCTATTCAAACGATAATTAATATATAGGGTGTCCAGTGTCCCATCAAACCAATCGGACTCTGGTTAATATCTCGAATTCGGGAATAAATAGAAAAAAAACTGAGAAAGTCACTGGATTCCCTAGTCACAATTTTCACAAAACAGTTTATAATATCATAAAGTTTGAGCCTCAGAGTGGGAGTTGATTTTTTTGTATCTCGCTCAGAAAATAACGTTTCTATCAAAAGTGTCCAAATTAGACAACCCTGCACATATCAGAAAACAGAAAATAACAAATAAAAATACCTAGATATACATTTATCCATCTGATAAAAACAAAACGATAAATTGAACAATAGTGTAGCTTGGACAATTTTCCTAAAGCATTTTATTGGAAAATTTTTCCATGAACTCTTATTGGAAAATTCTTTTATAATATTTTTCTATCTATGATTTAAAAAAAAAAAATTAGTAGTTTTTGAGGCTCTGAGGGGGGGGCGCGCGCCCCCCGCGCCCCCCCCTGTATCCGCCACTGCAACCGATTTTCTTGGAAACAACATTATTTTTGCTTACTAATAGTAGATAGGTGTATTAGTAAATTTCCAACTACATATTATCAAAAATGCGGTTCCTGGAACCTGCAATCAAAAACAAGCCATTTTTTATGATTCAGCTCACACGATGTTCTTGTAGGGGTCTAATTAACAAGTTAATATTCATTGAAAGTGTATGTTTTCTTTGTTTCAAGAACATTATTACCAAGAGGTGCAATAAATATACTGTCAAGGTATCGTTGCAATCAGAACCCTCGGCGCCCAAGACCAATCCGAATTTTGGCGCCTGCTACTAATTCTACCACTGTATAAAGATACAGAATGATCAAAATTTCATCATTTCTAGTTTTTAACGCAGTAATTCTTTCACGAGAGCCGGTAATAGAAAATAATTTTACCCTGCGGTCCTGTGGTCTAGATTTCCAGTGTTTCACCTCAAAATATTGTGCAGCACAGCAGATTCTTATAATCTCGTCTAGATAGATACGAAGTTTTATTTTTATCCATTTTATTTGCAATAAAGAAAAACTATGCTAGGTCTAAGTATTAGACCTGCTGGCCTAAAAGCTTTTTGGGTCTCTACAACTTACATATCTCAGGAATTAGCAAATTCTTTGTTTATCGAATCAAAACCAATTTTACACAAAATATTTTCCTAATCGACGCGACGTCCAGATCGATGCACTTTCGGTTTTTTTGTCAGTCACAAACAAAACATTGAAGGCCAAGTTTAAGTTTACTAAACTATAGATGAAAATTGAACCTAACTAATTATAGGATTTTTTTTAGCTAAAATTATGGTTGACACACAACATTTTTGTTTGCGCTGGAACAACTACCAGAGCAGCATCACTTCGGCCTTTGAAAATTTAAGAGACGACGAGGACTTTGTCGACGTCACTTTGGCCTGCGACGGTAAAAGTTTGAAGGCGCACCGGGTCGTTTTATCGGCTTGCAGTCCCTATTTTCGAGAACTACTTAAGGTAAGATCTAATGTATCCATAATCCTAGCATAGTTTGATGGTAGTTCCCAAGAATAAGGAATTAATTATGAAAAACCCTTATAATATTATTTTTTTTTTTACATAATTTCAAATCTATTGCGAAACTTTTATGTATTATTTTTAATTAAATTGCATTTGTAATTTCGCCAGGGACCATTAAAAATTGTTTTGGATTTTTATTACATTGGTTACCTATAAAACATTGACAAAACAATAGAATTATTGTTTAACGGCGGCATTAAGTGGGACTAATAAAATTCTATTTTCTTATTTTAATAGGCGCGTAGATTTTTACTTAAAATGGTTAAAAACAAATTGAATTTATTTATATATTTTAACAAAAAAATTGTCCACCAAATCATTTTCATTTTTATTAAAATTATTCAAGACTTTAATGCTAAGCACTTCGGACACACTACCAGAAATTCTAAAATGAACTGAAAGAGTATCTAAGGTAACTGAAGTGTGTTCAATCATTTCAAGCTTAATCAGTGCATAAACTGACTGTTCTAGAACCTATATTGAATATTGTAGAACACTAATTTCCGACTCTTTATTGCAGTCCACTCCATGTAAGCATCCTGTGATAGTACTCCAGGACGTAGCCTGGACCGATCTCCACGCTCTGGTCGAATTCATCTACCACGGCGAAGTCAACGTCCACCAACGATCTCTTTCGTCGTTTCTGAAAACGGCCGAAGTGCTCAGAGTGAGCGGTCTCACTCAACAGCACGGTGACGGCCGAGAACAGCTGGCTCAAGTACAAAGTCTGATCAGATCTCAGCAACAACAAACGCCAGTGACACCCCCGATACCCAATCACACCGGCAGCTATACCGACAAATTAGTCGAAGATGCCTTGTTCACTTCTCCATCTTCGCCGCCTCACGGTGCCACCGTGAATCAACTTTTGAGGAGAGCGGCTATGCAATACAGAAGAGAACGGTTCGAAAGGTATTTCATCCCTATAGTAAATAGCTTAGTCTTAAAGTGCCACCTTTTTGTAGAAGGATCTCATCGGATCCTTCAGAAATCGAGCACAAGAGGGCGCGAGCCGAACATATAATAGGCAACAACAACAATAACGAAATCAATTTGTCCCATAATCCACCTCAGACTCAACCGGCCGACTTTTCCCCGAGCGGCATGAAACACAACGCGCTCAACTTGAATATAAATTCGGCAATAATAAATAAAACGGAGATTATCGAAGGTAGGAATTTTCCAAGACACACATTTAACTATTTTTAATTGCAACAATTTTCACAGGAAATGGTATAAGTAGTACCGAAAGGGAAAATTCACCTTGCTCGCCGTCACCCACGCATCCCCTATCTAGATGTCACAGCGACAGTAACGAGAACAACGTGAAAAACGAACCCATGGAACTGATGTGCAGTACCAATCAACCAGACGATAACAGGTAAGAATGGTTGAAAGTGCAAGCAAAATGATAGTTTATAAAAAAAAAAATTGCTTTTTTTATCAGCAACGATTCTGGAGAAGGTACTCCGAACGAAAACGGTCCAAATAACTTGCCACACGGTCCGCACTCTGGAGGTAGTTCGGGGGGCGATCACGAGGACCACGACAGTCCCATAGGACCCTATTTGACGCCGTCAGAGAGTAAATTGTTCGCCACGGCAGCCGGCAGTTTTAATTTTAGCATGGCGGCCTTAGCGGCCGATCCAACCGCGCTAGGAAGTAAGTTCGGTATGTTTTTTTTTTTTTTTTTGTTATTAATGTTAGTGTAGTCAAATTCGCAGATTTTGGGGAGTAAGGTGGAACAAATTAAAGACAAATGTTTAATGTTTAACGGGTGTCCCTAATAATACAGGGTTACCATTTAAAACGGAACACGCTAAATATCTGATGCCACGTTTATTTTTTGAAAAAATCGCTCGTACACGTAATTTGATTTGCAAAGGAGGAAGTTTTCTACAACCATTTCTAGCTCTTCAACTTTAACCCCCTAAGAGCCGGTTTATCAATCAAGGGATAACTCACAGAGTTTCCTGACCTTGAGTAAACTCTAACTCTGGGCTAACTAGCTAGTTAAGTAGAAAGGTGTTTATCCGAGCTTTTTTAACCCAGGGCTGGTAAACTCTCGGGTGCTTTGAAGGTTGGCACTACTTACGCAACGTTGCCAGCTCACTTTTATTTATTTTTTCACATTTTCTGCTTATAACCTTACTTAATCATGTTATTTTTTTTTTCGTTTTCGTAAGGCATTTATACCAAAGTAGCATGCGACGTGCTACTGTGCGACTTGCTGCTAGAAAGCAGGGAGCACGTTGCAACTTGAGTTTTCCATGTTTACATTCATACCAAAGGCCATTTGAAGATGCACATGTTTACAGATTCGGATATACAGGGTGAATCCGAAAGTGCGGCTTTTTTTTAACAGGATGTATGTCTCACCAAAATAAGTTGTTTGACAGAAAATTGTTTATATAAAAAATTGAAGATAACGGAGGTACAGCTATTTTGAGGTTAGAGGAGACTTCCACTATAAATCACTTTGTTTACATTTTCTCAAAAAAAGAGCCGCAAAAAAGCCATTATTAGTCCAGCATAATGAGCCTTATTCCATAATAGGTACTTAGAGTTGCATTATTCCATCAGAAAAAGTTTCATTTTCAACCTATCAATTTTCGTTTTAAAGTGAAACAGACAAAATTTAGGAGGGAAATGAAGCATCAGTCAAATGGGAATAATTTTGAACAATTTTTGTGATAATTTTTATTATATTTTCTCTACTAAATCTTAGATTATTGAAATTAGATTTCTAATGTACATAACCCTAAAATACCTGTACCTTCGGTATCTTAAATTTTTTATGTGAACAATTTTTTGCCAAACAACTTATTTGGGCGAGATATATAACCTGTTAAAAAAAAACCCTCACTTTCAGATTCACCCTGTATATAGTTTTGAATGTAACACTTGCAAAGTGAAATTTAAACGAAAAGGTGTTTTGAAGGGGCACATGTTAATACACTCGGATATTTATCCTTTTGAATGTAACACTTGCAAAGTGAAATTTAAACAAAAAGGATATTGAAAAATGCGCATGTTGACACATTCGGATATTCATCCTTTTGAATGTGACACTTGCGAAGCAAAATTTAAAACAAAAGGCGTTTTGAAGAAGCACATGTTAACACATTCGGATAATTATCCTTTTGAATGTGACACTTGCAAAGCAAAATTTAAAATAAAAAGCGTTTTGAAGATGCACATGGTGACAAACTCGGAAATTTATCCTTTTGAATTTGACACTTGCAAAGCAAAATTCAAACGGAAAGCGATTTGAACAGGCATATATCATATCATGCGTGCGACCGTGCGACTTGCTGCTAGAAAGCAGGGAGCACGTTGCAACTTGAGTTTTCTATGTTTACATTCATACCAAAGTCACACAGTGCTACCATATTTATCGATACACCCCTACGCAACAAGTCAAAAATAAACAACGTTTTTGCGTCTTGCAAGTACGTTGCAAACTATTAAAATATATCTACATGTTCCAATCACTCCGGTGTGAAACCAGGCATATATTTCTAGGTCAAGGTTCGAAAATAATAGGTCTGTTTCTGCAGAAATCACAAACCAGTCAGAGTGCATTTCATTAGTTATTTGCTCGGACTGGTTTGTGATTTCTGCAGAAACAGACGTATTAGTATGCTTCCTGCTTTCTAGCAGCGAGTTGTAGATCGCATGCTACTTATTTGATGTGAATACCCACTAGCGGAAAGCGAAAAATTTGGTTTCGAGTATTCTGTGTAGAAATAGATAATATACTCGAATTCATAGGTTTGTTGGGAATTCAAGTCTATGCTCGATTTTTTCTAGAATAAATAAAATTGTTTCTTTCCGTAAGCGAAAACGTGCGAAGAAGTGGACGTCGTCAAAATTTTCAAAGGGATTTGACCCATACCTTAGGTGCCTGTGGTAGAGGCGCCGCTCATGCATTTTCCAGAAATTCTAAAACATATCATTTGAAAGGAAATTGAACGCACTTTTGAAACAGGTATCACTCGACCCCCTATTCCAATTGGAATAGTAAAGGTTGGTCCCACCCCCCCCTAGAGGGTTAAATCAGTGCCGAAAATGTTTCAAACACTCACACAATCAGATATTTTTTCGTTTCGTTTTAAATGGTATACCCTGTATAATAATAATTGTTCTAAAGGCGATCAAGAACAAAGACAAAGACGTCGATTATATAACATTAAATTGACTAATTATGACTTACCATACAGATCTTTGCAGGGGAGTCCAAGACCTGAAACAAAGAAAATACAGCTTTAATTTCATCTAATAGAGAAGTGTCTCAGAATCTTTCATTGTCTGTAAAGAATCTAAGTTAAAGATCGTTTTCCAACTCTCAATATCTCAGAGGTGTTTTGTCAATTTGTGAAAAATCCCCAGAAGCAAATCCTATCTGTAACATCGTTTCAACTTCTCAAGAATCAATAAGAACTTTGAGAAACTTACTTAAGTCATCATTTTGCTTGACCATTTCCAATCATTGAAAAACCCTCAAACAACTACATTGAAAAATCAAGTCATTATTTTTGGCTTTTGATTCAAATCAAGGGCCGGGAATAATCAAAACTTGAATATTGGAAAAGATCAGTTAATTGAATTGTGTCTTGAATTTGTTCCACCCTAACTGCTAATTTGACCACACTATGTTGTTTTTTCCCTCATTCAAGCATTTTCTTATCCCAAAGTTATATATCGATAGTTACATTTTACATTATTTAAGGTCGGTTCCAACCCGTCAAAAAAACCGTCCCAAAAACGGTTTCGCAATCACTCTGTATATTCACAAGTCCTCTGCAGAATTCTGATGGTGTTGGAACAAAGCTTTTAATTTACCACCTGAAACTATCGACGCATGATCATATCATTATTTATTATGAATAAATCTAGGCAGTTAACTGAATAGGTTAACTGCAATAATAAAACGCAGATCTGTTTGTTCCAGGTTTGAATCAGTCGCTGCAAGCCAACGACACGATGGCCGGAACGTCCCAAGGTAAGGATTGTTTTTTTTTTTTTTTCGATTTATTTATTAGAATTTACAAATTGGAAAGATCCTTTTGGATATTTTGTGTTGTTTGCCTTTTAAGTGTTTTGTCCAAAAGTGTCTTTCTTGTGTTCGATTTGTGTCATTTTGTGTGTGTATTTTTTCTGGTCTGGTTACTTTATTGCTGTTTTTCTTTTTTATTTTTGCGTGTGTATTTTGTCTTGATTTTCATTTATTGATTTTTTTGTTGGGGGAAGCCAATAGTTCATATTATTTAGTCTAAATTTAAGCAATTATACTAGGAAAAATATTCGGTCAATAACAAAGTATGATAGTTTAGTGTAACTAATCAAACGAACCAAAAAAAAACAACCAGCTGTAAATATTTTAAGCTTACGAGAAATAAGCCAAAAAAACCAAAGAATTGTGGCTGTAGGTATGGAGGATTTTCGCTGTCAGCCGTGCAACAAGAGCCTTAGCTCCCTCACGAGACTTAAAAGGCACATTCAAAACGTGCATATGCGACCTTCGAGAGAACCAGTGTGCAACATTTGCAAGAGAGTCTATAGCAGCCTCAATTCGTTGAGAAATCACAAAAGTATCTATCACAGAAACGTGAAAAATATTAAGGGAGACGAAATGATACAGCCGCATCATTCGTTTTATTTGTGAGAGAAAGAGTCTTTGAGAAATTTTTCAAATTTAATTGACTTGATTAGTCTACACAATTCGTTTTTTTTTTTTTTGCTGTAAAATGAAAACAGAAATAATAGCATTTGAAAATTCTCTTTTAAAACTACCCAAATTCTTCAAAGACTCAAATTCTTCAGATTTAAATATATTTCTATAATAAATATTGTTAGCATATAAATAATATAAAATACGAAAAATCGTACAAACATTATAATTTATATTCACCTATAAAGTAGCATTTTTATAATAAAATGTGTATAGTATCCTATTAAGGTGTGAATTAGGCAAGTAAAAAAAAAAAAAGAATGAAAGAAATATTTAGATTGGGATGGGTATCAAAATAGACCTTGATTATGTACTTATTTTTGGTACTCAATTAAATCAAAATCGAGTATGAAAAATAGTCCCTGCTAGACTTACATCCGCGTTGGCCTAATGGATGATTATATGTTTTCGGTGGCGCCCCATCAGACGCAGCGAGCAGAAGCCGGTCCCTGGCGTCGGCGTCGCATCACCGGTGCGACCTCTGCGGCAAGATGCTGAGTACCAAGCTGACGCTGAAGCGGCACAAGGAACAGCAGCACCTGCAGCCGTTGAACAACGCCGTGTGTCAGCTTTGCCAAAAGGTGTTTCGAACGCTTAATTCGCTCAACAACCACCGGAGCATATATCATCGGAGGCAAAAGTGAAAAACTAATTCTAATTTATTTTTGTCCATCAGGCCAACGCTAACAATTTATATTCCGATTTACATTAAGTGCAATGCGCAGGTAGGCAATAAAAGTTTTCGGATCACTATTGAGCAATCAGAATATTTTATTTACTTAAAGATTCTATTGCACTACTATGTAAGACAATGAAAAAAATTTCTATTCAATGGATGCTGCTGCTAGCTGCGAACTCAATTGCCCTCTATTCTCAACTAGCAAAATTCCGCATTGCCCAAATTTGATCCAGAAAACTTATTCATATATTGATTAGTGCACATTGCATAATTTAATTAGTTTACTTCAAATTTAATTACTTGCCTAAGGCCGTATTATCAATCCAATTGATAATACGTCCTTAAATTCATAAAAACAACCAAAATTTTAGTACTTAGATTAAAATTAACAAACTAGTGAACTTCGAAAAAAAAAAAAACTTGGGCTCGAAATTTAATAAGACTGATTCTAAGCAATCGATTGGACTGAAAAGAAATTAAATTAATAAATCAAAATTAGGTTAGGATTGGGTGTTTTTTGGCTGTGCAAAGAATCGAAATGTTCACTAGTTTACTTTGTACAATTATATATATTTATTAAAGTTGGCAACATTGCATCTAAGTAAATATTAATTAATTTTTAGGCACTGTGATATATTATGTTTTTGTTGTTTGCTAAAGATTTTATAGTTTCAAATTTGCAACGTTGCCACATTTGGATTTTTTTTTTTTTAATGTATTCAATCTACTATATTATTATATTGGGGGAGGTTATATTTATACTTATTATTAGTCAATAATAACGATAATGCGGTACTTGAAATTCATTTCGATTTGTGCGTGCAATAAAAATTAGTTTTTTTTTTTTTTTGAAAAATTGTTCTAGTCAAATTATTTTTGGTCTGAGCTGCTATTTTCGTGTGCCGCGAAAAAAAATATTTTTTTAGATTTTAGCTTCTACCACCTAAATAAGGTTCTCATATATTATTTATTTAGATTGTTATTATACGCGACAATATAATTGTATAAAAATGACATATAATTGTTTTATATAAAATCTAGTTTATTTTGTTTAGGTTTTAGGCTTAGTGTTTATTTGTCTTTGAAAATTTGGAGAGGACCAGGACTTGAGTTGTTTACCGGAAAGACTGAAATTTGATTTATATATTTTTTTTTTTTTGAGACTCGAGGTATTTTTTAAGACTGAAATAACGTTTTCGACTGAAATTTAAAATTTAATTTATTGACATTGGCAACCCCGTTTTTTTTTTTTTTTTTTTAATTTTTTGTTTATTTTGAGCTCATAAGAGACACCGAGGAATTTATTGCGCTATAACTTTTTAGCTAACATTCAAATTATGAACTTAAACAAAAAGTAAAGATAGAAGGCAGGTTTTGCAACTCTCATCCATAATCTCTCTAAAAGTAGTAAATATACAAGTTCTGAAAAGAGAGGAGGCTATAGAACCGGCTTTCTACCTCTACTAGCTCAATTTATTACTCTTTATTTTTTCTTAAAAGTAAAAACTTGACCAACACTAATTTTGTTATCTCAACAATCAACTGAAAAAATTCCAAACTTTTACAAAAATCTGTATTTTCAAAGCTAATAAATTCTTTGATGTCGTTTATGAGTAGAAAAAAATTTAATCAATGTTAGTCCTGTGTAGTGACAAGGTTTGTTTTTTCAGAAAAAAAATTCCTATCTACTAATTACTATTAATTTTATTTTTGCATTACCTAGGCATGTTTAATTAAATGTTGTTTGATGCAATAGTGTTATTTAAATTTTATATAACTTGTTGTATAACCTTTTATTTTATTTTTTTTTTCTCAAATTTATATATTTATATGTTTAAATATATTTTTAAATTTTTTTTTGCAAAAGCAACAGCTTTGGTTTTATTTTTTTGTCAAACATTTATTAGATATTGCTTTTCTAGTACGACTTTTTAATGTGCGTGATATTGTTTGCTTGTACGTTTCATTGCGATTATCGAGAAGCATTCATATGGTAACTTTTAGCATATAAATGATTCTTCAATACGGCGAGTGTTGCCACCACACACAAGAAATTAGTGAGTTTACGTCGCCAGCCATTTTGTTAAAAAAAAAACCGCACACTCAAAATTTCATGGTTGCCAATATTACCTACATCTGCTTTTTTTGTGACAAGTGTTTAGTTTATGCGCAACAATTACATATTATTATTATTATTATTATTATTATTATTGTCCACCCTGTAGGTGGCAATTTTGTGTGACCAATCAGAAAACAAATTGGTTATGGGAATACTTTTATTTGTTTATTTGTTTATTTATTCGTCCAAAAAAAAAAAAATAAGTAAAAAAACACCTTCTTGGGAATACCTTAAGTTCGTTCTAACTAACGTTCGATATATTGTCCCACCAGTCTAATAAATTTTTAATTTAAAAGTGTGGACATGCGTGTTAGAGGCCCTTAAGATCGCGAGTGTGCGGTCAAGAAAAAAAAAAAAAATAAATTGGCACTAAATTTTAACTTTTTGAAACTGGTGGCGACACTGCGCGTACCTCAAAAAACAAAAGTACCAGACCAGATTTTTTTTATGAAAAGTGATTAAAAAATTTCTCATATAGAACGAACGAAAAGTCTTTCCTTTTGCAGGGGTATCGCCCAAGAAGGTGTTCACTTGTCAACTGTGCGGCAAAGTGCTGTGTTCGAAAGCGTCCCTCAAACGGCATATCGCCGACAAACACGCCGAACGACAAGAGGAGTACCGGTGCGTGATTTGCGAACGCGTCTATTGCTCGCGCAACTCGCTCATGACACACATCTACACCTATCACAAGTCCCGGCCAGGAGATATCGATATTAAGTTTTTTTAGCCAGAACAACTCGATACGCTCGTGTCTACGATCGATTTCACAGGTACATAACCTCACTTTTTATTTTAGTTTTTTCATAATAAAAAATCACAAATGTGGCAACGTTGCATTTGGAATACGTTTGAAAGTTATACCAGTAAATCGTATACATTATCCCTTTTGAGAGTACGAAAGAGGAGACTTATCTATTTGTTTTTGATTGGAAATAAAATTGATAGATCTGTTCTCACAGAAATCACAAATCAGTCGGAGCAAATTTCATTGGTTAAAAATAGTCAGAAAACTGGTTGTGGCGATTTGCACCAATCAAAAACGCTCTGACTGATTTGTGGTTTCCGCGATCATTTTTGAGCTGTTTGAAAGGTCTAAGTAATCAGAGATAGAGACTAAAAGTGACAAAATATTGTATTATTAAACGATTTTCAAACTACGTTGCCACATTACAGTTTTTCTAATTTCAAAAAAAAAAACTATTTTTACTATACTGAAGACAAATAAGCCTGATGCCTAGTGTAAACAAAAGCACCTAAGTATGTTCAGATATTCGCCGAGAATAGTTTTCCTCATGCTATTTGTCTCAGGGTCGCAACTGGAACCCTCGGCGTCCAAGGCCAATCCAAATTTTGGCCTGCTACTAATTCTGCCACGAACTGGTAATGGGAAAGAATTTTACCCTCTGTAATTTGACTCAACAAAAATAAGCCACTGTATAAAGATACATAGTGATTAATATTTTATTATTCCTGGTTCTTGTAAGAAATCTTCCACGAAAGCTGGTAATCGAGAACAATTCCACCACTGTGTAAAGATACCGGGTGATCAATATTTCATTATCCTCGGCTCTTAATGTAGAAAATCTTTCACAAGAGCCGCTAATAGAAAACAATTTTACCTACTATAATTTGACTCAACAAAAATAAACCACTGTATAAAGATACAGAGTGATCAATATTTCATTATCCCTGGCTCTTAATGGAAATCTTTCACGAAAGCCGGTAATAGAAAACAATAATTCTACCACTGTAATTTGGCTCATTTTAGGTTGTATACTAATTTTGTTTGGAACCCTAGGGCCGCGTCTGGTTCGCCAACCCTTTAGTCAGGCGCGAATTCAGACCCAAATTAAGGGGGGGGGGGCAATACAATATAGAGAATTCTCGTGCCGTCCAAATTTCAAATACCGTAACGCTATTTGACAAGTATGACAGTTCGTACGGTATTAGCGTTAGCGGAGCCCGCTATCTATCGGAACTTACCGGATCCCTTACCGTAACGCTATGCTATGTCAAAACTAGTTTACGCTCCATTTAAGTATGTCTTTAAAAACAGCAACTTCTAATAATTCCTCCATAAAAAACACCAAGAGAAAATTAATCATGCTCAAAGAATCCTCAGAATAAACAAAAGTTGGAAAACAAGCAAAAAAAGTGGAGTTAGATTATTCAACTCAATTGTCAAAATGTAAACAAAATAAGGGATTAGAGGATTTATGTGTTTTCGTGCCCGAGAACTATAAATTACCATGTGAAATACCGTATTGTTAGCGGTACCGTATTAGCAGAGCGTCTGACGCACGAGAACTCTCTATTATTGGAAGGTACACTTGGCCAATCATAAAACTGGTGTGCATTTTCTTAATGTGTTGTATTGTGTAAATCGACCTTTTTGATCACCTCAGGGGTGCGTTCGAAATTACCCTGGGCGTCACACGAAGTGCACACCAGCTATGAATTATTCATGGGGCGGATTACGAACTCACGATTCGAACCGAAACCACCATGGATTTCGAACGCACTCCATGCGAATGCATCAGAATGCGTTCGAAATCCATGGCGGTTGCGGTTCGAATCGAGAGTTCGTAATCCGCCCCCATGGCTGGTGTGCACCAATGACCTATTAACACAGATAGACAGAACAATAAACAATAAAATCGGTTGACTACATGCCAGGAACCGCATCTCTCCCCACTACTTATTAATCCTTGTGTTATTTTGTATCTTTCTCTAACATGTGGAAAGCGATTATTTTTCAATGAAAATTAGCAACGCTGCAAGAAAATAAATCCCACCTCGAATTCCACCTTTTCACCAATCAGCGGCTTCTATTCAATTGTCATGTCAAAATGTGACCTGCAGGTATTTTATGACAATTTCCATTTGTCAATCAGTGCGCAGTGAGTGTATCCGCATCTTTTTCTAAAATTATGTAAAATATAAGGATAAAGATAAACTTTTGTAGCACTGATTCTGGTTTCATTTTCAGAGTTGCCAAGTATGCGATAGTAAAATGGGGGCGGAGTTAGCGGAATCATTTGAATCCCTACTTCTAGCCGCTCTCACAGCTCACCCCCCCTAGCCCATAAACATGTAGTCAACCAAAACAAATAGTCCCCAGTACATCGACCTTAAAATTTTGTAACTCATGTACACGCCCAACTTTCTGAGCGGCTTCATAACACCAAGTCGGACAATATTTTTCATGTCTCCACCCTGGGCGATGGGACATTGCTGCGCTAGCTCTTCATGAAGTTGTCGTTCTGACGTCCCTTAGGAAGTTGATACATGTACGTGTAATTTTTATGCCAATCGACTGTTTTTTATGTTACATTAACGATATCACATTTGTCGGACAAAAACCATGTGGCTTTGGGGAAGGTCCGACATCTCCAACATGTCGCTGTGGCGTCCCTGAGGAAGTTGATACATGTACGTGTGTTTTTAATACCAATCGACAGTTTTTTACATTACATTAACAATATCACATTTGTCGGACAAGAAATTTGAGACAATCAATGAAAAAATTAAAATTAGTTTGCCTTAACGCAACGTGCATATTAGTCAGTTTATTATTTACCTGCTTTGTCAAATACCTGTGGGGCTCTGTATCATATTCCCTGATCTGTTTTTTTGATAGTTCTCCGAGTATTTACGGAAATTATTTAGTGAACGGTCATTCAAAACCACGTGTGTGAGAAAGAATGGATATTCAGTCGTGTTTTTTGTGCAATCTCAGGAGTGAAGTTCCTGAATTACGGCAGAAATTGATCAAAAGGACTTTTGTTGTCCGACTGACTTTAATACTCATTTTATTTGTCCGACATTTACTACACATGTTTTAAAATTACAGTGTTATTCATAATTATTTTTGTCGGACATACATGTATCAACTTCCTTAGGGACGCCACAGCGACATGTTGGGGGCGTCGGACCTCCCTAAAGCCACGTGATTTTTGTCCGACCTATGTGATATCAATAATGTAATATAGAAAACAGTCGATTTGCATCAAAACCACACGTACATGTATCAACTTCATCAGGGACGCCACAGCGACATGTTGTGGGCGTCGGACCTTCCCCAAAGCCACGTGATTTTTGTCCGACAAAGGTGATATCGTTAATGTAATATAAAAAACAGTCGATTGGCATTGAAACTACACGTACATGTATCAACTTCCTTAGGGACGTCAGAACGACAACTTCACGAAGAGCTAGCGCTGCAATGTCCCATCACCCAGGGTGGAGATATGAAAAATATTGTCCGACTTGGTGTTATAAAGCCGCTCAGGAAGTTTGCGTGTACATGAGTTACAAAATTTTAGGGTCGATGTACTGGGGACTAAAAGCTATTTTATCAATGGGATGTTCTGTCTATCTGTGTTAATAGTTCATTGGTGTGCACTCGGTGTGACGCCCAGGGTTATTTCGAACGCATTCCAACAATGACAAAAAGAGTCAAGTCAGTGTCATAGTTAAACCAATCATAACAAAACGTGCGTTTTTATTCTCATCCATGGATTCACCGATGAGTTAGCTATCTTTGTTTAGTGAATGAAAAATGACAATGACCGAATGTCTGACCTAAGTTTTTCAGAACAGACTTTCTGTTGTTAAGCCTGACTCACACTAGGCAAATTTAAAATATATATATTGCCTGTACCAGTTTTATGTCTGGCCAAGTGTACAGGGTGTCTGGTTATAATTTGACATCCCACCTTTATAGGTGTAAATACAAAAGTGGAGAAGTTTTAGCTAAATTATTGTCAGAAA